GCACTGCTGTTATGTGCAACCTCCTTCTCCCATATGCCTTTCCAGTACCTTTCAGTTTCCAGTCTTGGTGGGTCAGCTCTGCTGTTAGGACCCTGCCACTGAGCGTACACTTTCGCAGGTTGTGTTGCGAACAGCCTGTTTATTCGTCTGGCCTCATTCTCTTTCGTGTACCTCTTTAGGAGACTGGACAAGGCTTGGAGCCTTTGTTTGGCAGTTTCGAGTGTTTCAGGTATGGTCATCTGGATGTACCTCTCGGGTATCGGCCTTTCCGTCAATTGACTCACATCTTTCTGAGCCGCCTTGATCTTCGCCTCCAACTGTCTTTTCCATGGTGGGTAACGTGTCTCTTGGCTCCCATGGTCAATCTCAAGTTGTTACAGCCGTTTGTGGATGTTGGAACACTGAGCTACTAGTTGTTTCGTGGTCAACCGTGACTGTGGGTTTCGGGCGACGTCTGAGCCGGCATGTCATGTCTCTCATCATTGTATGAGGTAGGGATTAGCGTGAAGGATCTTGCCCAAGGACCCACACTGGATGGTGTTATGTGCTCATTTTTGCCCCAAGCGGGATTCGAACCACCATCTCCCGTACGCCAAACTGATGCCTTACCAACTGAGCTATCCAGCCGCTGCAGATATATATATATACACACACACACACACACACACACACACACACACACACATATATTTTTTAAAGTACATTAATTTGCTGCTGCGTGGCAACACGAAGCTTCGAAACACTATACTTCTGCACAGGTCGAAATATTTCAAAGACTACTGTGGGTTCTGTGTAATGTAGTCACACAACACAGAGTGGCTGCTGGAGCAAATGTTATTGAGCTACTCCATCTGGAGTTCATGACAAAGACCGTTTGCCTGGTGGACACATGAATCCTGACTTTACCTCACACTATCCTGGGCAAAACAAGACGGAGTTCCACAACTGTTTTTTTGAAAGAAAACGTGCAGTTTTTTTCACAGTTTAACCCTTTCAGTGACAGCGGTTACTACAGCGGACAGGTTATCCTGTTATCAAGTTACAGGGTGCATGAAAGGGTTAAATTTGTTCCCGGCTGTGTAATAACACGCCTTTGACATGCTTTCATCAAAATACCCCAAGAATAAAGAATTACATCACAGTTTATGCACAATACATCTAGTTTATTTTGGCGCCCACCCAATATCTTATCCCATCCCATACACTGCTTTGCTAACAGTAAATTCGACCACAAACACCCTCCTGCTCCGCACTGCATCACACATCACAAGGCAAGCAAGTTAGTGTGGTTGATCATAAATTAACACTGTTGTGTAACTGCAGGCAAATGCGACCTAAATTCGATTTTTTTGCCCATATGTGTTATGATGTGATCCAAACGGCTCAATTTCGATTTTTAAAAATCGACATGGGTCACTTATATGTGCATCCAGAAAAACTCAATGCATCAATACATCAATGCTTATCTTGTGTGAAGCCACCAGAGAATGAAACAGAATGAAAATAATTCAACAGAATAATCCATCTATCATAATCCAACCTAGGGGATCATCATTTTAAGCAATATCACTCTCTGTAGTCGACCGAAACGAACGCCACAATTACCATGTGATGGGATGATTCCGAACGAAACGTCACGTGACCACACTCAGAAAAACACGTTACTGAATTCCCTGTACATGCTGCAATAACTAGCATAACTACGGATTGATGACATGATGGTTTGAACACAAATTTGCTGAAATGTTGTTCAAACCTTGGTTTGCAGATTCAACGCTGCCATTACTCTCTGAATGAAAAAAAACTGTGTTAAAGTGCTTTGAGTAGCTTGAAATTCAAACCCCAATTCCAACGAAGTTGGGATGTGCTGGAAATAAAAACAGCATCCAATGATTTGCCATGTTTTGTCATAATGGGCTGACTCAGAGACATATTTTGATTTTCAGTCAAAGGCAGAGAGCAAGGATTTACTTGATTGTTTAACCTCACACTTGAAGGATTGGCAGGCACTCCAGATACCCAAATATGTGTAGAGAAATAAACAGAAAGCACATTTTATGTAACATGCCCCTTTACTGTTTCCCTGGAGAATAATTTCACACGTTACACACATACTATTTGGATAAATACGATTTCATTAAAACATGCACACTGCAAAAGCAACACAACCAACAGCACTAAAATTAGATGATGGAAAAGAATAGTAATTGCAGCGAACGATACAAAATGTACAATGTGTGGAGTTATGTATGTTCTCTGCGTACTTCCATATCCATCCACTTTGCATACTCTAAATGTTGTAAATAGGGTGAATGTGGTTGAGATATGTTCCATGTTCGACTGGCAATTCATCGAGATTATGCCCCCTCTCGCATGAGGTCAGCTAGTGTAGACACCAGATCTCCCGTGAGCCCGTTCAGGGTGGTGGACACAAGATCGAGACACGTGTTGTGCTCCCTAAGTCCAAACTTCCTGCTGTGGAAAAACAGCGCACTGCTGAGATTGGAAGTTTAGGAGAACAGCTGTGCAAAGCAGGAGGGTGTCTTTTATTTTGTGTCCATGTTATTGTGTCCATGTCAGACATTGGGTCAAAGCTGGAAAAGATGTTGAAAACACATACACTATAACTATACCATAAACACAAATAAATGCTTCAAAATCCACCCGATAAGATGCGCTGGAAGGTGTTGCAGCGCAAATTGTAGTCACAGTCTCAAGAACGCCCATGACAAGTGAAAGATGCTGTGAGGATTCAGAGGTTGAATACAAGCCAAAACAAGTCTCCACCCTGCTTTTTCATAAACACATCAGTATTAAACACAAAAACAGTTATCCTGTAGTTTTCAGCTATTTTCTAACCCGTTTCCCCCGCCAAAAGGTTGATGTGGTCCATACAGTCAGTGTCCATGTTTAGTAATCACTGCTGATTGCTCCCCTAGACCCAAGTCTTTTTGCCAAACATGATCAAGCAGACAGTACTTGTATCTAAAGTGCGCCAGCGGAAAGCGTTTCATCTGCATTGGTGACTACCATGCCAGCTGGTGTCCCGTTCAGCGGTGACTGCGGGGTGACTTTTGCCAGACGGTGATCCTTGCTGTGAGTGCAGCTGTTGGCGCAGAGTTGGCAAGAAGAACAGGCCGAGTTGCAGAATGGCAAAAAGCGGAAAATACTTAAGCGCCACAGCAACCAGCCGGGGGACCAACAGCACCAGCAGAGCACCGCACATCCCACCACCAAACCCAGGATGATGTAGAGAACCAACAAGGACGCGGAGGCTGCAGACTCTGGAAAAAAAAAAAAAGAATTACAAAAATTCCATGATGGAAACATTTGGACTTGGATTGGTGGTTATCATATCCCCATAGACAGAAATGCTCAGTGGGACTTCTGAAATCCATCCATTTGTATGCTAATGCTGTGGTTCGGGGATATGGGGAGCTGGAGTTTATCGCTTCCGATTTCAGGCTAAAGGAAGAATCCTGGATATCGTGGACGGATGGGTCGCCAGTCAATCACAGGGCACATGTAGAGACAACCATTCACACTCACTTTTACACCATTAATAAGTGAAAAGTAAAACTTCACAGCCTCCATGGGAACCATGCAAATGAACCACTGCAGTGAAACTCCTCTACAACGAAACCTACATGGGCGAAAATACCCCCTAGTGTGAAAAAACCTTCATGCCTGAAATCCATTCCCACTTTTCTGCTCCCCGTAAAATGAAAAGTCTCCCTGTTCCGTTATACATAATCTTTTTCTCTGCTCTTGCCTCGCAACGAGATTCACTACAACGAAAACAAGCCTTCTGCAAAAGTCAAATCCAACCTCAGCATGCCACAGCGACCTCTGCTGCTTTGTTCGGAAATGGCAACAGCAAATACCACACTGGTTTACACATGCGCAGTAGTACAGGAAGTATTTGTTTCAGACAGCATGGCGACATAACGGACCTTTGTATACCAAGGAGTTAAGAAAAGAAAAGCTTTAACGCTTGAAGACAGGATAAAGGTAATAAAAATGAAAGATGCATCGCAAAATAAAAGATATTATGCAAGAAATTGATGTAAGTGAAAGTAAATGCTGATCGTAAATTTCGCAATTTCTTTCCCTGTTTTTCTTTCTACGCTGGCTATATGAAGTGTCAAATAAGTGTATGCTCATACTTATGCACTATTGGAATAAAAAATAAAAAGTACACATATACGTTTTTTGTGTGTGTTCGTGTTTACGTCTGAAATAATATTTGCAACATTGAAAAGTCCCCTACTGTGAAAAATTTCTTGCTGCAAACAGGATTTCGTCATAGAGGAGTTTCACTGTACACCAGGAGTGTGAAACTCATTTTTGTCGCGGGCCACTTTGGAATGACGTCGTCCCTTGGAGGGCCGAATTAATATTTAATCATCACATAGAATTATTACTTGTACACAACAAATTGATGGATTACAAGTTTTGAAATCAGTCTATTATTTGTTTGTTGTTTGTTCACTTATGATTCAAGTGAGTGTAACCAGGTTCAGAAAATTATTTCAAAATCTCAATGTTATTTATTACACATGGCAATTTGACATTTTGGTACAGATTTTAGAAAGGATCATGGAACTTGACACACATGATGTGCTTTTGTGGGCCACATAAAATCACGTGGCGGGCCAGATCTGGCCCCCGGGCCTTGAGTTTGACACTTTGCTGTACACCATTACAGACAATTACATTACAGACAATTCTAAAATCTAAATTTTGAGGGAAAATCTGCTTCTGAAACGAACTTATTTTTCATGGGTATGACGGTTAAGGGTATTAAATATTGTTTCAGGATTTCATCCTACTATAGATTTCTATTGGGACAAGCATCAGTGTTGTTTGACTGTCGAAGTACATTATCATTCATAATACATAAATGATCCATGTAAAACAGTAAGACCATTAAAAAAAAATAACGTGGCAATGCTCCAAAACTATATTCCGCAGTTGCAACATTCTGATTTGAACAACTGCACCATATTATTGAAAATGTTTAACATTAAAAATGGAGCATCACAAATTTATAATGCTGTCACAAAAAAGTCAGCCTACATTCAGCATGCTGTATAACAGTTAGGGATAGGGAAACTGGTTTGTGCACCAGACATGCAATGAGTGCAGCAGCTGCATAAACAGGTTCTCTTCGGCAGTTCCTCCCCATCATGCTGGCAGCTGGAAGCTGACTGCGTGCTGAGAAATCCTGTTTTCTCATTCTTGCTGTTTTTTATTTTCCTCAATGAATTAAATTTAGATTTTTTTTAACTTATGAATTTTCATTTTACATCCCATTGGCTGGCAACCAGTTCAGAGTGTACCCTGCTTACTGCCTGGAGACAGCTAGGGTAGGCTCCGGCACGCCCACGACCCTCGTGAGGATAAGCGTTACAAATAATGGATGGATGGAGGGATGGCGGGATGGATGGATGGAAGGATGGATAATTATATATTTTTTTCTAATGTTTATTTTGATCAATGTTTCTATTTTTGTAGTATTTTTTTTCTATTTTGTTTTTCAATTTTCTGATTCTGATTTCCTTTTCTCATTGAAAAAAAAATCTTCCTCAAAACAGATTACTGATACTGGGTTGACAAGACCCCCCCCCCCCCAAATACCTTTAAAAATAGATACAGCAGCGATTCTGCCAAAGAAACATCATCAATGTTCAAATAAATATCAGTGTAAAATTGTTGCAGAGATGAAAGTCCTCCGGATTTTCCCGGAATTCCGGCTTTTTCAAATTTTTATGAAAATTTCTCCGGAGAATTGAGGAAAATAAAATAAATAATAAAATTAATCCGGATATTAGTTGACAACATTGAACGAAGACGCGTTTGAGTTCGTTGTATTGCTGTCACGAGCGTAGCCAAATTGAGGCACTAACACTAGTAACGGTAAATAGATTTTTGTTTGTGTAATAACGACAGAAGACATGATGGCGTTTGACTAATGGTTTAGTAGAACGAATGGCAACTCGCAACAACAGTAGCAGGCGTCATTTTGCCTCTTGGGTTATACCATCTCAACTAGAACGTGGGGGATAGTCCCCAAACAATTTTCGTCTCTTTATAAACACACCTGCTAAACCCCAGTGGAACGAATAAAAGACGCCGTCAACAAGACAGTTGTAGTAAAAAATATATTTGGCCAAAAAGGGAAAAACACAGATTGGCAGAAAATC